GAGTCGAACCTAAGACTTTCGGGTCCCAAGCCGGCTGCTCTACCACTACACCACAGCCGCCCCAGTAGATAAAATCATATCAACAAATAAACATGTTTCAGCTCCAGCTGTCGATCTGTTGTTGTGTTTTTATTTTTATCTGACAAACTTACAGTAAGTGTTGTTTTTAATCACACAACTTACACACTGTGTTTAATAAAACCCTGTCAGGTCACAGTGATTAGTCAGCACAAATAACACTAACTTAAACACACCTCCTCCTTGTACACCTGTAATCTGACAGATTATCACAGATTTAGGTAAACGTATTTTGCAAAGTGAACATGAACGACACCTGTTGTTAGCTCCGGTTGTTACATGCAGCAGTGTTTGTGTTGTGGTGCAGAAACACTGAGGATGTGAAGTGTACTGCACGTTGTCGTCTTTCTGTTTACTTTTAAATGTTCCCATGCTTTTTATAATTCATCATCTTTTGGGCGCTTCGTTTCGGCACTCTTCATCTTCTTCTAAAGCTAAATATAGCTCTTAGCAAGCATACACACGTGACGCGTCGACAGTGTAACTGTTAGCAGAAGTGCTAACATCGTAGCATTGTGTGTAACACAAATAACATTCTGTGTGTTTGAAAGTGTGCTGATTATAACAGTGTGTATTTTTTATGAAGCTTCCAGGCAGATAAATTTGTCTCCAGGATTTTTTGTTTTGAATTACTTGATTTATTCGAGGAATCGTTTCAGCCCTATAATTTTTAAAGTTCTTCTTTTAGATCATTTAAAAAATGTTTTCTCAAGTTAAACTGCAGTGCTGTAAACAACAATGACAACCAATAATAATAATAATAATAATAATAATAATAATAATCTGATGAAGATTATCAGCTGTCAGTTGTCCTCATTTCTAAAGAGTGGAATTTTTAAAAACTTTTTCAGAAAACCTCCATTTGCCTGGTGTCCATTTGGCAACTTTTCGTAGGTTTTATCAGCGCTGCACACAAATATAGGCTGCAGTTATTTGTCTAAATATTACTTACCAACAAAGTAAATATCATATTGGGAAATAATTTGGTCACAAAAAATGTTAAATCTTTCAAACTTATAAGTCTGTTACAAAAGGAACCAAATCAGGGAGTTTCTGAGTTCAGCCTGATAAATAAAAACTTTGTCTCAGTGGTAAACAGATCCTCCATATTTAATAAAATACTAATAGGTATTTATTTGTTTTGTTTTTTAATTATTATTGTTTGAAATTAATTTTGGAAAAAAGGGGGCAGATATAAGATTTTTTTCTTCTTTCTTCCTCCTTTCATTTCAAGTGTGATTTTTTTCCTTCATTGTATAACATTTTTATTTTTATAAGAAATGAATAAAAGAATTTAAAAAAGGTAACTTGTTGTTGTTGGTGTGTGTTTCAGGCGCTGGTGGCCCGTAGAGAAGGCAGGAAGACGGAGGACCATTTATTTTCATTTCATCACCAACAGGAAAGAACAGGGAGGGGGAAAATGCCCAAACCGGTCAGTACCTGATTAATGTGCACATTTTTCACATTTAAACCATCAGCTCTGTGACCGACTGCTTTTATTTAATACCAGCTGGTATTTCCTGCTCCATTCATTAGTGATGATTTCAGGAAGTGTTTGCTTTAAGTTATTGTTACTAGTTTTACAATTCTAGTTAGAAACGTTGTGATGAAGCTGTTTTACTGAAGTTTAAAGATTTGTTCAACAAGTAAAAGAAACAAGAAGAAGAAAATGACATCAGGGCTGCACCTAACAAATATTTTCATAGTCATTTAATTAGTCGATTTTGTTTGTTTTGTTGTTGTTTTTTAAATTATTGGATTAGATTAGTAACTTCGGGGTGTCCCAAAAAAAAATCGATTCACATTAGAATTGTGATTCTCATTTACAACAATTCAGAGTGGATTTAAAATGTTCAAAAATCAAATAAAAAATAAATCCAGTGGCTGTCAGCCTCTACTCTTTAACTGCGTGGGACGTCATGATGTCACCATGAGCTGCTTCTGGAACACATGTGAAGAAATGTATCAGTCATGTTAGACACTGATTTTAAAATCACTACACCATTTCTATAGTTTTCCTTTTTAAGTATTGACTCTTATAATCTATTGTTTGACTATTATGTGTTGATTAAAATAGGTTTAGAAACATGCCTGAAACATGACAACACATAATAAAACTGTTTATAAAACCATCAGGAGAGCATTGTTGTGTCTGTGATTCAGCCGTAGGCCTGTAGAGGGCGCACCGGGCACTGAAGAACTGTGTATTTATTAGCCGGGATGTTAGCGTTGGTTTCATGTCTGCACAGAGAACACTGAACCACCGTTCACTGCAGGAACTGGTGCTGTATGGTCCATGTCTTCACATCTCAATCTATTCAACATCCATGTGGTTTCGTCACGATTTCAGTTAACAAACACTAAATTTTCTTACATATGCATGCGCAGAAAGCACCACAACAAAGACAAAGCTACATAAACAGAGGATAAGGAGATTTAACAGCCCCATTTTCAATGAAGGCAAAGATTTGGGCTTATTTATTTTTTTACCAAATGAGCCAAGTTAGATATGAGCTTCACTGTGTGCCAGGTTTGCAACATGAAATGAAACACTTTGGGAACACTACAAATGGGCTCACATCCTCAGTTTTGAATGAAAAATCGATTTTCAATCGAATTGTGGCCCCAAAAATCAGAATCGTATCTTGAGATAGTAAAAGATTCCCACCCCTGTTATTTTTGTCACACCGTCCATCTATGTATGCAAGTCCATAATAAACTACAGAAAAAACTTTGGTTTAACTGACATTCAACTACATTAAAGTGAGAAATAATCCATCTGTTTGAAGTCTTGCAGATCTGGCAGTCTAAAGGTTTAAATAAGACTTTAAAACGGAAACAATGGGAGAAGACAGGATGGATTATTACTATAATTCTGTGGTTTAATATGAAGCAATGAATGTGTTAGCTATTGTTAGCTTAACTGCTACCTCTGCTTTCAAGAAACAGTTTATTGACAGGTAGACTGACTGAAGTGATTGACAGGTAGACCGACTGAAATGATTGACAGGCAGACCGACTGAAGTGATTGACAGGTAGACTGACTGAAGTGATTGACAGGTAGACCGACTGAAATGATTGACAGGTAGACTGACTGAAATGATTGACAGGTAGACCGACTGAAATGATTGACAGGTAGACCGACTGAAATGATTGACAGGTAGACCGACTGAAATGATTGACAGGTAGACTGACTGAAATGATTGACAGGCAGACCGACTGAAGTGATTGACAGGTAGACCGACTGAAATGATTGACAGGTAGACTGACTGAAATGATTGACAGGCAGACCGACTGAAGTGATTGACAGGTAGACCGACTGAAATGATTGACAGGTAGACTGACTGAAATGATTGACAGGCAGACCGACTGAAGTGATTGACAGGTAGACCGACTGAAATGATTGACAGGTAGACTGACTGAAATGATTGACAGGC